CTCTAATCTCAAAAAAAACAAACCAGATTGAGTGGGCCTCCCACACCCTCCCACAATAAGGGGGGGTGACTTAAACCCCCAAATACCCCCGGACCGGCGGGGGGGGGGGACTTCTGGGAGTTGAAGTCCACCCGTCTTCAAGTGGACAAGGTTGAGGAACCCTGAACTAGAGGATATCTTTATCTTGTCTAACCTTTCTGAAATCTTACCCTGTGTGCAGTCTGTATGGTCTTTTTTGGTTACATCACTTTAAGAACTAGTTCTGGATTAATCTGAATATAACAGTTTTGGAAAACTGCTTCCCTGAAAAAACTGAAGTACAGGATCCTCTGATCTCTGGGGATAAATATATGTTTGAATGGGGAGACGTTCCACAGAGGTAGCTGCTGTTTGGCTACTTAATGAGCATTTAGAAGGGTGGCGTCTTCTTTATACAAGGTGCTGCTTCCATAATTCCCTTTTTTAGGCAACTTCAAACTAACTTATGATCCTGGATTATTGGGGGGGGGCACCATAATTCGTTGACTATAAAGAACTGCAGAGATTCATAGAGGATGGGGCTATCGGATGCCAGCATGGCCGGTGGGAAGAAAAATAGGAATTATGGGACAACATTTAGAAACCAGACATTGCCTTCTTGAATTGTGAGATACTCTGAAATGTAAAATCAATGTAAAAAGTCTATTTCACTGGTTACTTAGGAATTTTCTGCTATTAATCAATGTTGTTTATTTGATTTTGTCCCACCTTTATTTTGGTCAGTTTAAGGCAGTGAACATACCTAATAATCCTGCCTCCTATCTTCCCCCAAACAACAACCCTGTGAGGTGGGTTGGGCTGAGAGAGTGACTGGCCCAAAGTCACCTAGCTGGAATATCCTAACTGTACTGACAAAGCAAAGCAAACAAGTTAATTCTTGGAATAATTTCACTGTAATCTCACTAAAGATAAGTTAATTAATTTAAGTCTTAATTAAGTCTTGATTTCTTTTTAAAAATACACTATTACTAATGTTCAGATATGAATTTTCAAAGAATTTAGCAGTACCCTCTATCTGGGTTCTCTGTCCGTCCCTCTAAAGAAATAGACATAATTTGATGATAGAAACAAGAATGTACACAAAGCCAGAATTTCAAATAAATTTTGGATTAGTTCTGTGACGCTACTAAGTGCAAGTAAACAATGCATTATGTTCTTCGTAAAATAAATCTGGATAAATCTCTGTGTTCCTGAAACCTTCCTGACAGCAGATGATTAATGTCGCACGATTTAAATAATAATAAATTAAAGGCTTACGTGCAAATGTTTGGGTTTTTTAATCTTTCCTTCTAATTGTCTCTTCCTTATTCCTTTTTAAAGCCATTATTAGGTTTTGTGTTGGGTTTTGCAGAGTAACTCCTAATTGTTTCAATTAAAAAATCCCTCGGGAAATTATAAAGCCAGCATATTACACTGGTGATGGTTTTACTGATTACTTCTAGCCTACAAATATTCAAGGGTAGATATTCATCGAAGCAGAGACTTAATTAAAGCTATTAGAAATCATTCCCAGATTCTAGGCATTTGGCATTGTGTATTATTAATATATTATTATAATGATATATTATTAATATATGCAATTAATGAATGTCATATAATACCTTGTAGTTTACAGAGTAGCAAAAACTAAAAAAAAGCACATATTCCATCAGTAATCAGCACTGAAGATTGGAGGTTAGGTGTCAAACTTTCTGATACAAAAAAATCCAGCTGAGCTGTAGTTAATATTTTATAAAATCATTATTCTAAAATGAAAGGCATTGAACCTAATTAATAAATAAAAATAAGTAAATTGTGATTTTGGGTGGTCGCAGGGCATAAATACTGGTGATAAGGTTTTCTCTCCAGTTTCAGCATATGGCAAAATAGTTATATATCATTCAGTCAACTTTCAGTTTATAACATAATGCCATAAATATCTAAAAAGCTACATTCAGTCCGGTATGCCTACATTATCTACATTCCAAAAAAGTACTGTGGATATTTCAATTTAATTAACATGTATATTTAATTAAAATTAAAAAATACTTAATCTGATGGCTGGTGTGGGTCTTCCGGGCTGTGTGGCCGTGGTCTTGAAGTTTTGTTTCC